CTTCAATCCCTGCGAGGAATTCTCGAAAGATGTCATGCCCTTCGTGGCTCGCCCCCACTTCAGAAGATCTCATGTTCTAAGCATCTCGGATTTGCCCCTCGGAGAACTCGGGACCAGGCGGTGAGTCATCCATATTGATTACCCCAAGCAATCCACTCGGGGCATTCTCTTCTATCTGAAGGGGCTCGGGATCGGGCCCCTCGGCCTCGCCCTCCAAATGGCCTCCTAGGCGAGGTGCCTTTTTCTGCCTGATGGCGGGGACTTTGTTTGAACTCCCCTCGGAGATCTCTTCGGCTCTAGAATGAACCACATCAACCATCACCGGTTCGACAGACTTCGGAGCACCGGTGTTTCCTCTTTTACGAGCTACCAACAAGCAGTTGTCATCTTCTTCTTCCTCCTGATCCCGAAGGCGTTGGGCCGTTTCCGGAGATAAGGCCACCATATCGGCCTTGGATTTTTGAGCCGCGCTTTTCTTGGGCTTCGAGGGATTTGCATGTGATTCCCTTTTTCTTTTCTTTTCTTTAGAAGGATTCAGGATCTCTTCTTCACCAGCCGGGGCCGGCCGCATAGCAACGGCGTCTCCGAGACCTGCACAAAAATGAAGTAAGTATTCCTCTAAAGAAGTACAAGTAAACAAACAAGAGAACTCACCATGATTTTTAGCCTCTCATCGGCCCTTGGCCAAATCTCACCAGCAACGCTCCGAATACAAGGAAGTGGAACTCAGCTTTCGGACCCAGCCTTCAAGGTCCGGGACCGCACCAGGAAACCAAGCAGTAGCTGTGCCATCAGAAAGGGGTTAGACCAAGAGAAAAGATAAAGCTGAGAAAAAGAAGAGAAAGCAGGGTATAAAGTTACTATGTACTTACGATTCATGTTCCACTCCTCGGGGAACGACATCCAATCAGCAAGAATCAGGTCGGAGGTCCTGACTCGGACAAACCGGCTCATCCACCCTCTGTCTTTGTCCTCATCGATACTGGAGAAGAGAGATTTCAAGGATCGACGTTGCAGTTTTATTAAGCCACCTCGATAAAGTCGAGGACAGTACAGCCTGATCAGATGGTCGAGGGTGAAAGGCATCCCCTCGACCTGAATTGAAAAGAATCTGATCAAATGAACAATTTGCCAGAATGAAGGGTAGATCTGGCCAAGCGTCACTTGGTATCGTCGACAAAAGTCAAGAATGACTGGATCTATCGGACCCTGAGCTGGAATTGCGGGGCCCAGCGTGAATGGATAGGTATACACGATTAAGTACCCCGTATTATATGTAGTGATGTCCTCCTCGGGGAAGGGATCACTACGTCTTTGTTCTCCCACTTGCAGTCCTTCTTTACTTGCTCGAGCTCGTCCTCAGTTATCAAACAGACGTATCGAGACATGGGCTCGCATCGACCTGGTGTTGATATAGGTTTCTCGATCTTGAAATCGGATGTTATTTCACATGGCGGGGCAATGCACTCCTCAATACGAGGGGACACTACCGCTTTACTCTTGGTTGATCGAGAAGATGAAGAAGTTTTTTCTTTTTGGGGAACCGATTTAGATGTCTTAGCCATTATAATACGGAAATTCAAGAAAATAGAGAATGTTGATAATGAAGTAAGAGCTAATAGAAGAGAAGGGAGAATTCAGAGAAGTTGAAAGGGCTAATGATACTTTGAGAACAATATGAGAATAAAGTTTGCAAGATTGTGAAGTTGATCTATTTATAGAGGTCATTTAAGCGTACTGAGGAAGCCAAAAAGCCGACCGTCAGTCGCCTCCAATTAACGACTTTGGGAACCGCACGAAAAGCAACCTTTCAGTCACTTCAGCCGCTGACGTCACGAGATTGGCATCAGGATCAAAGCGTCAAAAATTAATTCGTTTCTTATCGACCTATTTCGAGTTCGAGCAAGTGCTTACTCGACTGCTAAGCCCAAGGGCTACCCGAGTTTGAGAAAATTCTCACCCGGGGACTATAAAAAAGCCTAAGGGCTAACTTTATTTCGAGTTCGAGCAAGTGCTCACTTGACTACTAAGCCCAAGGGCTACCCGAGTTTGAGAAAATTCTCATTCGGGGATTACCTACGAAACCTAAGGGCTAACTTTATTTCAAATTCGAGACCTTGCTCTCACTCAACTCGGACTCAAGAGTCCCATTATTCCGAGCTCACATTAAATTGATTTAAGCTTAGCTCGAGGATTAACAAAACCTTAAGGGGTATTATATTGATCGATTAAAAATCTAAAGGTTTATTATGTTCTGAGTCCGGTATTCGGACTAATCACTAAAATTATACAATCAAATTTTTCACAAATAAAGAGGGAATGGAATCCAACATGAGCCAAAAATGAGACAAAGAGATCCTTTTATATTTTCAAGAGATGGTTACAACATATATTTACAACATCCACGAAGGATCCTTACACAGGAACAAAGAAGCAAAATACAAAAGCCAAGAACCTAATCTACTTTTAAGGCCACGTCCTCGAGAGCGGCATCTTTGGGAAACTCCTTCCCGGGGACCCCATTTTGATCTTTGGAAATGTTTGTGTGCCTGAAGAAATTTAGGGCAGAGCACCCTCGATAAATGTAACTATATTTCCAGCAGAGGGGATCGAGCATTCTGTTAAAATTTTGGGCCATAATTCGTTAAAAAAGAGCGGCAAAAGAAAAAGACCAGAATGGAAGACAAGAAGATGTAGCTTCACCTTCTATCACAAGAAAAACCAAAAAAGGTTGCAAGATGCACGAGCAACGGTCCAAGAATGTTCATCCTTGGGACGTTGTAGGATGCATAAGTTAGTAGATGATAGTGCCACCTCACTTCATGGAAAGCAAAAGGAATGAAGTGTCACACTAGGTTGAAGTTAAGAGAGATGAGCGGCAAGGTGAAGTTCGCATATTTTCTGATGCGGGAAGGATTCTGCGCCCTTCTCTCGTTGTTTCGAGTCGAAGCTTTGAAAAGGAGAGCCTTGGCGTAACTAGTAAAGTTGCTGCCATGCGACCAGGAGGTCGCAGGTTCGAACCATGGAAACAGATGATTAGAGAAAGAAATAAAGAAGGGAAAGAATCAGAGTAAATGAAGATGAAATGCGTACAGTTCTTTGTTCAACAGAGTAGCCTCATATTTATAGAAAGGCGACGACGGTTCGGCGGCGTTAGTGGCCGACCAGTGCTGGCGCGCATTTGATGTTTTGGGGAAGCGTGCTGACGTGACATTTTCGATCACTTCAAAGCGCCTACGTCACGGGCATGACATCATCATAAGAGGCTCGGGAAAATCGAGGTTCAAATCGTTTCTTATCATCTTATTCTAAGAAACGCGGGGACTATCTGTATACGGTCAAAATCATATGCCTCTGATTTATAGGCTCGAGGGTCCATCATAGGCCCGAGTTCGGGTGAGGTCGAGTTCGAGACCAGTGGACCAGAATCGAGCTCAAAGACAGAGTGCAATGCCCGGAGATAGGAGTACGAGGAATACCGGGGCCAAGTATGCTCGACCCCAAAACAGTACCGTTATGAATTTATAACAGAATAAGCTAGATTCCTGCCACGTCCCCAAAATCATGGCGCAAATCCCGGAATAGGATTGTACGATTCCTTACTTGGCGGTTAGACAGCTGTATCAAGAATATTCCTTACTGCAAATAGAAATATACCTTATTTAGGGATTCCCCTATTATATAAAGGGTACCACAATCATTTGTAACATCATCTATTCATTGAGAAAAGAATATACTTTCTACCTTTTCGCCTACTGTTCATCAGCATTGTCGTTTAGCTCAACTGTTCTTACTTTACTTTTCTTGCTTAATTGTTCTTATTGTTCTAAGCCCACCTCGAGGTCACTAAGCTCAAGGTAATTACTGCTGAGTAACATTAGTTTGATTCACTTCTATCTTTGATCTCTACCTCATATTTCTTGATTATTAATTGGTATTGAATTAAATCACATATCTTTAAAACCACTAATCAAATTTAATTGTTACTCGTATTTTCGAGGTAAATAATTAGGTTTCTTAATTTTTGGAGGACTATCTTTTAAGAAGATATTAAGATTAATCTGAAGTTGAGGAGTAACATAGACAATTTTAAAAAGAGTGAATTGGTCAAATTGCAATTATTATTTTTGTTGAAGATAAATAAGTTAAAAAATGTTAAAAGAAATCAAAATAAAGAAGGCAAATGCAACATCACACAGCAGCAAATTGAGTAGCCGACCAAACAAGAGATATCTATGAATTTTTTTCGCTTATCGCTTAATAAAATACAAATATACACAAACATAATACCAGTACAACTTCGCGTTCATTAAGATAAGGATATCTTAATGAAACAACGATTTGTTTCATATCAGCAAGTTGCAAATTAAGGAAGTAAGGCAACCAGTCCCATCAGTTGTTTATCTATAAGTCGTTATCATATTCCATGCTACACTTAAGGACAATTAAGATTTTATTATTTTTAGCATATGCAATTAAAATGCTATTAAGTAAGTTAGGCAACAAGTCTTTTGGTTTATAGATTAAGGATAAGACATGATAAATTAAAATTTTCGTATTTCATTTACCTTTAAAATGTTACCAAAATCATATGTTTTATATAAAAGCCAAACCATCTTCAATAGAACAACGAATTTGGTTATGTTGCCAAAATCCCGCATCTCAAATAAAATTCAAATAAATTGTCTTTAGTAGATCAATTTAGTGACCAGATGACAAATATTTCAAATTGAACGATATCATTATAAGTTTAAATTACACTGATATTTTATTTTTGTTCAAGTAAAAAAATTTAATCTAGGTAAGATAGAAAGATAATGAATCAAATCAAATCGTCCATATCTATTTAGAATAACCTTATGTATGCACCTTATAAACGCCAATATGAGAAGGACCTTCTAGATTTTGCAGTCAGCCATGACCAAAGAAAAAAGAACCTTCTAATTATTAATTAATTATTTATTTCATTTAAATAAATAATTAAACTCTAGGCTTCGTACATTTTTCAGCAGGAGTTGGAAATATGCCAAGCTTGACCATCCCAATACAATGGGTGCTGTAATTCCAATGTTACCCTTTCCGCTTCTGAGTTTCTCTTCTTTCTCAGCATTTCACTCCTCCTTAACTATGGATTCCACTTTCTCTGCTTGGAATCCATAAACCCATAAAAAATAATTTCAAACAAATTAATCAAATAAACACTCTCAAGAACAAAATAAATTTGAACCCCTTTGATTCTTATTTTGCATAATTCTTTTTTTTTAAATTTATTTCTTGAGGGATTTAAAATTATGTATAGATCTGGAACTGTGATGGCTTGGAACGTATTTAGATTCTGTACGGCCCTAAGAGGGCTGGGCTCAATCATGATCTTGTTGGTCCTAGGCGTTGTGGGCGTTACATACTACGCCGTCGTTTTGACCAACTATGGCCCGTCCCTCGTCAGTGGTGGTGGAATTCTTGATGCCTTTATCGCTCTTGCCGTACTTGCCGTATTTCATTGTTTGGTAAATTTGTTGACTTTTCTTATATTGGGATTCCTGATTGATCATTTGTTTTAATGGGTTGCTAGGAATTTAGATATATGTGGGGTTTTGCGAATTAATTGTGAAAAATATTCTTTTTTGGTGTTATTCTTGGATCTTTGTAAAAGTTAGGTGTTTGAGAATATTAGAAAACATGTTTATGCATCATGCACACTTGAATTTGACATGACTGTTCTTAGCTTGGTTAGGAATTGATGATAGTGTCGGGTTATGTGCAGAGGGGATCTAGGATTTTTATAATATGGTTGTACCAATAAAGAAATGAGAAAAAAGAGATTATTAAGTGGGAATTGATACCTACTCCTTGAGCTAAATAACTCATCATTCAATGAAGTGCACTATTAAGCCTCATTGGAGCATGTCTGCCAGCAGATAATATTAGATCAATTCAAGAAAATATGTACATCAAAGTACCTAATTTGGCGGAGAGACAATGGGTTCACGTGCCCCATATATTGGGCTATAAATCCGCCCCCCCGTTATGTGTGAGATTTACAGATTCCAAATGGAGCAGATGGTTTAGTGTGGGGAAACTAGTATTCATTTCCCATAATGAAAAATCTTACTCTCCTCTTAGAGATTCTGTATTCTTCTTGTTTTATGTTTATACGAAAGCTGAAGGAATCTCTGGATGCACAGTAAGCTATTCTTTGTAGTATGTAGCTAAAGGATGTGTTGTTCATTAATCATTGCAGTTGGTGATGCTTTTGTGGAGTTACTTCTCTGTCATTTTCACGGATCCTGGTAGTGTACCTCAAAGTTGGAATCCAGTCCTGGATGAAGAAAGAGGTGACACTGATCCATTAACTGCAACAGAATTTGGGGCTTCACCAGCTGATCCAGCAAACCCAAGAATACGGTTTTGTAAAAAGTGCAACCAGTTGAAACCGCCTCGATGCCATCACTGTTCTGTTTGTGAGTTCTTGTTATGCACGTTTGTGTTGATTTTTGTTTCTATTTTTTTTCCATTCGAGATTGAGTTGTGCATGTTTGCGCGCTTAGGTGGAAGGTGTGTGCTAAAGATGGACCATCATTGTGTATGGGTTGTCAATTGTGTTGGAGCACTAAACTACAAGTATTTCCTTCTTTTTCTGGTAAGTTTCATTATTCTTAAATGTTGAAAAATATTCATGTATAGTTGTTAGCAAGATTCTAACTATCACAATCCTAAAAAATATTGAATATGTACCAGCGAATATGAAATTTCTCGGCGGCTTTTCTGCACTGATTGCCGTCAGCCTTGGTTGTTAGCTTCTGTTCTAATAGCTAAGGCCCTTTCTCTATTTAATTTAATGTATTGGGTGTTATACTAGTTGCACCTTCCGGATTTCAACGGGTACATCGTACACCACAAAGCTTCAAACATTTTATTTTATACCAACTCCTTATGTTAAACAGGCTCTAGGAAAGAGCTGAAGACCGTATTTTTTTTATCATTCATGATCCGAGTTGAAAATCATAGTTCTTGATCCTAAGCACAATCATCCTAGGATCTTAATTTACGACTTATGTCTCCGTACTTTTATGCAGCTAATCGTGCAACTGTGCAAGTATGACTAGCTGCAAGACCACTTAAAATTGCATTAAGATTTGGCCATTAGCACTATCTTATTTGAACATGCTGGGAACACAGTGAGGAACTTATTTTGAAATTTCTGTAGCGTGTAGCATTGTTCTTTGACAAAATTTGTTTCTTCTTTATGTTAGTGTACAATTCTGCCTATCTGAGCTTACATGGTACCAAGACCGGAGAAAGGAGGGGTTTGGAGGTTGTTGGGCAGCATAAAAATAGTCATATCATGATGCAGCCGACCCGTACTAGTTTGTGATTGAGGCTTAATCGATTTATCAATTGACTTGCATGTGATTTCGAGTTAATATTTTCAATCGTCTTGCCTGTTATGCCTGTCAACTGACATTTGTATTTTCAATATTCGATGAAGATACATTTCCATAATTGATGTTGCATTTCTTGACAATAAATTCTTTATTGAACCTTTTTTCACGAACCAATTACGTCCTTTCTTGATGCAGTTCTACACGTTCCTTGAAACCACTGTTGTGACGCTAGCATTACTGCCGCAGTTTATTGCATTCTTCAGTGATGGAGAGATACCTGGGACTCCAAGCACTCTCGCTACCACTTTCCTTGCTTTTGGTAAGGTGTAGAAACCCTGCTTCCCAAACTTCCCCTCGTATGATTTTTTCCTAGGCGTATTATTTCCTATTAATTTACTCCATTCTTGTGCATTGCAGTTTTCAACCTTGCTTTTGCTTTGAGTGTATTGGGATTTCTGATCATGCACATATCATTGGTAGCTGGTAATACCACAACCATTGAGGTATTACACCTTCCTTACTTTTGGTTGAATGTTTAACTGGCGAACTGCTCTCTGATCGTAAGGGGGAAACTATTGCTACAATTTGTTGTTTCTCTGTGTCTTGGGTTTAGGAAGGTGTTCTTGCTAGATCAATTATCTAAGCGTGTGTATGAACTTTATCATTTTCAAAAAATTATCTAAGTGTGTGTAGTTTGGTTCGTTTTGATTGGACCACCTTGTAAAGTTTCCTTCGTGCAAAATCATGGAAGTCACACTCTTCATATTTCCTCCACCCCACGAAAATAAAGAAACAAAATTGAAGTAGAGAGATTTCTCATTCATTTTGCTTTTCCACATGTGGTTTCTTAAACTCAAATTTACCGAGAACTTAGATTTTACCGGATCAAGTGGTGGATTCCCACGGGACAAAATGACCCTGTAACTCTTCCTCAGCCAGACTTGGCAAGAATAGCAGAGAAAATAAACAATTGGTTATCTTTTAACATTCTCATTATATATTCGTAGTGTTTTCTTATTGATCACTATGGTTCCCTATTACTAGAGGTGGCCTGCGTGCATAGAATCCTTCTCTTGCCAATGGTTTTGACGTTGGCCCTTCAAACACCATACAAAAATTGTGGAAGATATCTTTACAGTAACTGCGGGGCTAAACTACAGGGTTAACCCAAAGAGACCACGGCTTATTTACATCTTCTGATGATAAGCTTTTTTCAGCTCAAACTCTTTTATTTGAATTCTAGGTCTCGTGAGCCAACTGCTCCTTTGAGGCCACTGCTTGTGCTTCTCTTGGAATTCAATAAATTACATATGAAAATTCATTCGAGAAATAAGAGTCACTTTGAGACATTTGAATTTGTAGTTTCCACAGTTCGTTTGCCCACTTTACCGATGGGATGTTAGTATTCTTTGCCACACTAATACACCTGTCTTGCTTCAGGCATATGAGAAGAAGACCACTCCAAAATGGCGTTATGATCTTGGTCGGAAGAGGAACTTTGAACAGGTTAGTTAACTTTGGAAGAGATTGAGATTGTCATTTCCTTGTTTTCAATGGTGGTTGTTCTAAGTTGCAATAGGAAAATTGATGCATCTCATGTAGCAATATGAACTAAATTATAGTCAAAACTCGTGTAAAAAGGTACGAGATCAAGGGCATAGTTTCAACCTGTAGAAGAAATCTGGAGCTAACCATTTTTCTCCCGTTTCTTGGAGTCTCTGTGTTTGAAACTGGGTCAAACACTTTCAATTGCATATTGGTATTTTATGTATACATATAACTGAAAAGAGGGAAAAGAGGAATACTTCTTTATATAGGAATAGGAAGCAGTTAGCGCCAACGTAGGACGTGGATAGACCCACATGCATATTACCTGGGTTTTAATCAAATTCTGAAAAATCCGATATAGAATTGATGCATGCATGTGCTTTTAAGATAGGAAAGCGTGGAGTGAATAAGAACCCTGGTTCCTAGTAAATTTAACTCTGTAATTAAGGAAGCCGGAGCAAGAAGTTTTCAGGAATTTGTACTCTGTGATGACCCCTTGTTTTCGTAGTGGGACTTAATGAATGCATTATGGTCCTCGGATGATTCAAATGCATGTCAAGGGTATGATATTTTTCTTGAAAAGAAAGGGTTGGACGCAGCAAAAACAAGTACTGTTAGAAAGGACCAAATCTCAAGGTTTTCCAACATAGGGTGTGAGCCTGTGTGTTTCTGACTGCTCGAGTCCATGTACAGTAGTTTGATGTCTTCTTTGGCTAGAGTTCCCTTATTGAGTTTGTGGTGTTACCTCATCTGTGTTCTATGCTATATCCTTCTCATTTCACCCTTCTAATCTGTAATTTTATGCATCAGGTTTTTGGCCTAGACAAGCGGTATTGGTTCATCCCAGCATACTCAGAAGAAGATTTAAGAAGGATACCCGCCCTTCATGGTCTTGAATACCCGTCAAAGCCCGAACTTGAATCCCAAGATTTCTAGGAATCGCAAGTACATTACCATGTTGAGTTTGTTTTTCCTTTTTGTAACAATTATAGAGTAGTACCTAATTCATGCCCATCGCGCCACTCAACTGATGAAATTTGGTGTAACTATTTGACGTGGCCTGTGCATCTACTGGCGCTGTGCAGAAACTACACAGAGATATAGTAGAGGCCTGAGCAGCCAAAGGATGTAATGATATGTCCATTTCGTTTGAGTATCCGTTAGGGAAATGTAAGATAGAAGCTTTTCTTATAGACCGGTGTTGTTGTAAGATCAACTGCTTGATTAGAAATGTGGATTGATCTTTGATGACTCTTCCACAGTGAAGTGTTTATGTAATTCGATTGTTCATCTCTTAGATACCGTTTGGATCGAAAATAATGAGTTTAAGTTGGACATACCGATGATATTCCACTAATAAAATTATTCAATTAGAAGGAAATGGAATATTGTTTTTATTGCGCTTTCTTGACATTATACTGTTTTCAAAAGGGTCTTAGTCTTTTCAAGTTATATTAAGTTAGTTAGCAAAGAGTCAATTACGTACTGTTAGCCCCTAATATTGAGACATGACGGATGTCGCGCAGAATCTATGTCAAGGGCTTGTACATTGCCCCTTGGCATGGGCTTGTGCGGGTGTTGGCAAGACATGTGCGGAGCTGAAGGTGTGTCTAAGTTAGTGCATGGACTTAGGCAAGTCAGCCGGGCAAGGTGTCTTGAGTGTTGGCAAGACATCTTGATTGTGGGCAACAACTATGACAAATGAAGGTGCATGGCACTTGACTAAGGCATGCGTGTGGATCAGTGGGACGACAAGGTTTGTGACAAGACATGGTCATGAGTTTATGGGCGAGACATGGTCCAAAGACAAGGCAAGGCAGGAAGGCAAAGTGTGGGCAAAAGCTGTAGAACAAGTGTGCAAGTCATGTGACTGTGAAGTAGTGTGTTGTGCATGTGCTGTGGAAGTTAGCCATGTGCAAGGCACATGTTGCAGTTGGCCAAAATGCTGAAGAGGGATTCAAATTCGTGGGAAGGTTGAATTCAAATTAGGACAAGGTAGTTATGATTGTTACCTTCTCAAAAAAAAAAGGTAGTTATGCTTGTTTTTAGGCTGTCATGTGCAAGGCACATTGTATAACTGCCCCTTACTGCCCCTTTGTAAATCTGCCATAGGCAACCCCTTTTATATGTTGTATTTTCGTTGGTTCAAATACAAGTAGCATATGTGAGCCTTTCCAACTAAGTTCCTTTATATATTCTGCGAGAATTAATAAAGGTTGGGTTTTTACCCGTACTACTGTGTGTTGCTACGTTTTTGCTAAGTCTGAAATAATCTAAGTGTCAGGTTGTGTGCGAAAAAAGTAAGGCTGAGTGACTGAGAGTTTGGCTACTGCCGTGCAGTGTCAATTGTGCTAAAATTGGCTCTGTAACAACTGGTATCAGAGCTTTGGTCGTAATTTGTGGCCATGGCTGGTGGATCCACTTCAGACTTGCGTGATCGTGTGCAAAGGTTGGAGGCGCTGATCGGTGTGACTGATGATCCTTTGGACCTAGCAGATCTAATTACTGAGATCTACCGTCTAAAGGATGGAATGGATCAATTTCGTGAAGGCATTCAGAAAACGTGTGAGGCCACGAATGTTCAAGTTGTGGATCTGAAGAAGGAAATCGAAACTCTAAACTTGGAAATTACAGTTCTCGAAGGGCGTTGGCTGCTCCAGGCCAAGGCAGTGAAGAGCGTTCAAAAGTTAAGATCCCTGATCCGAAGGCGTTTGGTGGAGCGTGTAGTGCTAAAGAATTGGAGAACTTTCTGTGGGATATGGAACAATACTTTGTTGCTGCCAAAGTTCCAAACGGGGAGAAAGTCACAATTACAAGCATGTACCTAACGGGAGATGCTAAATTGTGGTGGAGAACTCGCATGGCTGATGATGAAAGTGCGGCAGACCCAAGATCGATACGTGGGAGAAACTCCGAAAAGAAATAAAGGACCGGTTCTTACCTAGCAATGCATCTTGGCTTGCTAGGCATGGTTTGAAACATCTGCGGCAAACAGGAACAATTCGTGATTATATTAAGGACTTCACTTCCTTAATGTTGGATATACAGAACATGTCGGAGGATGACAAATTGCATAACTTTATTTCTGGAATGCAAGCGTGGGCACAGAATGAACTCAGGAGACAGAGCGTGAAAGATCTCCCGAAGTGCGATTGCTGCAGCGGATTCTTTGGTGGATTATCGCAGTACCCATAGTCTTTCTGAAATTCGCTCTACTCCAAAACCTAAGAAAAAGGTGGAGAAGAAAGGGGAATGGAGGAAGGAAGTTTGAAAAGAAGTTGTGAAAAAGGGCAAGGCTGTTGTTGATGGACCCGCTAGAAACAAAGGCATCGCAAACAAAAAGAGCGATGGTTGCTAGACTTGCGGCAGACCTCACATTGCCAAAATCTATCCAAATCGGGAACGGGTTAATGCTTTGCTTGCTACAGAAAATAATCGGGATGGAGAAGGTCAAGAAGTTGCTGCTGCCTAAGTAAATCCATCGCAATTGCTGAATGTTATCTCGTTGGTTAATGCTACAAGCAACGAGACTAACCCTCATTCTTTGCTAATGCACACCGAAATGAGAATTGGAGAAAAGGGTGTGATAGCTATGGTAGATACTGGCGCTACTCACACCTTTGTCTCGGCCAATTTGGTGCATAAGTACGGATTGAGTGTGAGCAAATGTCCCTCTTACATGAAGACAGTGAATGCCAAAGCACAAGCCATTGTGGGTATGGCTTACAATGTTCCTATGTCTGTCGGGAACTGGAAAGGGAAAGTTAATTTGATGGTGATTCCATCGGAGGACTTTGAGGTGATCCTCGGAATTAACTTTATGCAGAAAAATCGCTTTGTTCCAATGCCTCACTTGGACGGAGTGATGATCATGCATGAAACGACTCCTAGTTTTGTGAAGGTTGTTCATCCTTATGGGAAAGAAGAAACTCAACGGAAGGCTTCATTAGTTTCTGCCATGATGGTTGAAAAAGGTTTGAAAAGGGGAGATGATACTTTCCTTGCTGCTATGGTTGAGGTGAAGCCTGATGTGAAGGTTGATGTGCCGGACTGCGTCACTCAAATCTTGAGTGACTTTGCTGATGTGATGCCACCGGAATTGCCTAAAAATCTTCCACTACGGAGGGCTATTGATCACAAGATAGAGTTGCTGCCAGGTTCAATGCCTCCTGCTCAACCTCCTTATCAGATGGCGCCAAAAAAGTTGGTTGAATTGCCGAAACAATTGAACGAGTTGCTTGATGCGAGACTGATTCAGCCATCAAAAGCTCCATTTGGTGCACCTGTTTTATTTCAAAAGAAGCAGGATGGAACGCTTCATATGTGTGTTGATTATCGGGCGTTGAACAAGGTGACTGTAAAGAACAAATATCTGGTTCCATTGGCGCAAGACTTGATGGACAGATTGAGCAAGGCTTGCTGGTTCACGAAGCTTGATTTACGGTCTGGTTATTGGCAGGTACGGATAGCTGAAGGTGATGAGTCTAAAACTACATGTGTTACGAGTTATGGCTCATATGAATTCCTTGTTATGTCGTTCGGGTTGACAAATGCCCCTACTACTTTTTTCAACCTGATGAATAATGTGTTGTATGAGTACTTGGATGACTTTGTCGTTGTCTACTTAGATGACATTGTTATATATAGTCGGACCTTGGATGAACATATGTCACACTTGATTAAGGTGCTGTGTCGTTTGAGGGAGTACCAGCTTTATGTGAAGATGGAAAAGTGTGAGTTTTCTAGACAGGAGATAAAGTTTCTTGGGCACTTGGTGAGCCAAAATCAGGTGCTGATGGACCCGAACAAGGTGCAGGTCATTGTGGAATGGCAGGCGCCCAATTCAGTGAAAGAGTTGAGGTCTTTCCTCGGGTTAGCTAATTACTATCGGAAGTTCATTGCTGGCTATTCAAAGAAAGTTGCTCCTTTGACTGATTTGTTGAAGAAGAATGTTAGGTGGGCGTGGTCTGAAAAATGCAGTGGTGCGTTTGAGATGCTGAAAGAAGCTATTGCCTCAGAACCTATCTTGCGGCTTCCTGATTTTGAACTGCCCTTTGAAGTTCATACTGATGCTTCCGACAAGGCTGTTGGAGGTGTGTTGGTTCAAGAAGGCCACCCAGTGGCGTTTGAAAGCAGAAAATTGAATGAAGCGGAGCAAAGGTATTCGGCTCATGAGAAAGAGATGGTTGCTGTTATCCATTGCTTGCAGATTTGGCGTGTCTACTTGCTGGGAGCAAAATTCGTCGTGAGGACGGATAATGTGGCTAATACATTTTTCAAGACACAGAAAAAGCTAAGTTCGAAGCAGGCTCGTTGGCAAGAATTCTTGGCAGAATATGATTTTATTTGGGAGCACAAACCGGGAAAACACAACCAAGTTGCTGATGCATTGAGCCGGAAAGAGGTATTTGCTGCTGTTTATTCTATTACTCGACTTGAATCTGATTTTCACGATAAGATCAAGTCGTGTGCTGCTAATGATCCATTGTACATCAAAACAATGAATCATGTGAGAGAAGGGACGGTAAGACGGTACTGGATCGAGGACGATCTCCTCTATTTCAAAGGGGGGAAGAATCGTGGTGCCACTTGGTGATGGATTGCATCGTGAACTGCTGAAAGAGACGCATGATACTCTATGGGCCGGTCATCCGGGAATTGAAAGGATGATGGCTCTACTGTCCCGCTACTACTTTTGGCCCAAGATGGAGCATGATGTGGAAGCGTACATGAAGAGTTGCCTTGTGTGCCAGCTTGACAAAATTGAGCGGAAGAAAGAGGCGGGTTTGCTGCAACCTCTGCCTATTCCAGAAGAAACATGGCAATCCGTTTCTATGGATTTTATCTGCGGGTTCCCTAAGGTTAATTGGTTGTCTTCGATTATGGTTGTGGTTGACAAGTTTTCAAAGTATACTGTTTTTATTGCTGCCCCAACTGAATGTCCCTCAAAGGTTGCTGCTGAGTTATTCTTCAAGAACGTGGTTAAGTATTTCAGAATGCCAGAGGATGTGATTAGTGACATGGATGCACGGTTTACAGGCCGGTTCTGGACTTATTTGTTCAATCTGATGGGTACAAACTTGAAGTTTTCGACGGCAAATCATCCCCAAACTGATGGCCAAACCGAAAGAATCAATCATTTGGTGGAAGAATACTTGAGGCATTTCGTGACTGCTAGTCAACGGAACTGGACAGATTTGTTAGACTGTGCACAATTCTCTTACAATTTGCACAAGTCTTCAGCAATGGAGAAGAGTCCATTCGAGATTGTTTTGGGAAAGCAACCTAAACTACCAATA